AAGCGTTGGGTAAAATCGCCGATTTTGAATAACCCTCTTTTTTTTTTTTTTTTACACATCAAAACGAAGAGATCAAGACATTTTCCTTACTTGCTTCACTTATTGTTCCACGGAAGTACATAAGCATGGTCGCAAGCGTCAGGGAAAACGGGGCAATCTGGGAAAAGTCAGGGAATTCTGAACAACCGGGAAAAGTCAGGGATTTTCGTGACCGGTCAGGGAATTTTCGCGTTTGAACAATTGCATACCGTGATTAGCGATACCCTGCTACGCCGCGATCATTCCGCGACAGTGTGAAGAAGATCGGCCGTTTCCGTCCAATTCCGCTTGTTTCCGTGGATTCAGCGCGCCCATCCTCCCCCCGTCGTCTTCCCGCCCTGGCCCCGCGCAGCGCGGCTTCGACAATATCCGCGACAAGGACCTCAACAACCTCAACCAAGAAACATGTTCTAACCTAAATCTTCTTCGAGTGTGTATTTTTGCTCATACTGATTAATATTACTTTTTGATCTGAACTTCTAACTCAATTTGTTCCTTTTCAATTCAATAAATGTTATGAATTTCGTTCGAACTCAGTATGGCTGTCCCATTTTTCTTCCCACTATACGCGAAGCAATTTTCCCTATTCAAGAGAATTAATTACTTTTCAGACCAACGTTTACTTCCACGATTCCTGAGTTCCTGGATTCTTTCTTTATTTTAAACGACGAAAGAGGAATAATTCAACATTTGTCTTCTCTTCCTTCATCATGTAGCCTTAAAGCTTTCACAGGAATAGACTCAGTTGGCTTTGAATTTTGAATTTATTCAATTATTTTACTCTAATTTGCAATGACTATGAAATGGTTGCACCCTTTTTATCGAAGCCGATCAAGATTGCAATAACTTACCACAAAAACCTTTTCGAAACACTAAAACCATCCAGCAAACAAATCCTGTTTTCTGTGCAAAAACTTTGTCTCATTTGATGGTTTGCAATAATTACCAAAGGTCAGGGAATTCCATCGGTAAGTCAGGGAATTTTGAAATAGAATTTCACTTGCCACCCTGATAAGCAGCCGGACTGCTCAACTAAATATTGATCTAAAATAAATAAAGTAGGTGAGGTTGCAACTCAGAATGAAACTAAAAAAATGCTGCTTCTAGCTACAGTAGCATATGTTGAAGAGAAGTAAGGAATAGTTTCCATCATCATAGTTACAACACTAGACCCGAAGCAACTGAAGAAACAGGGGTCAGATGCTGTAACATGGCAGTCTATCTAAACTTCATAGGTGTAATTTCTCATCCCCCAGGCCAAGACAAATGGAACTCACAAATGTGCCAGAAACCGCACCAAGGTTAATCTGGACCTTGGCTCACTCGGCAACTTAAGCACAAAAATTCGGCTACAGGTGACCACAACGTGTTCTAACTGTTAACACTCGCGAAACGCGAGTGTTCAAAAGGGGGTTTAATTACACCTGAGAGGTTCCTCCACAAGCCAATGGCTTATGTGCCACATGCCTTTTTAGTCTTGTCTCAAAGGTCTTTCGAAGATTGACTCAAAAAATCGCACCATGGATTTGTTGGAAAGGGTGAATTCTGTCTATTTTATCAATGTTTCAATGAATCAAGTCTCCTAAAACTTGGGTCTAGGGAAGGTGCTGATTGCATAATTTTTAGTAACACTCAAAGCTGTAGGGGAGAGTGGGTTCGTTGGATTGGGCTAAATTTTTAAAATGTCGCAGGTCTGATTTTCCTGGTAGAAAGTTTCCTAGAGATTGAATTTAGAAATCCCAACTACTCCTGGTGGGTATCCTCCCCTTGAATAACCCAGTTTTATTTAATATCATTATTTTCCATTGTATCAAGTAGCCCCTGCCCTTTTTAGTCTTCCACCATCTGCTAGCCATTGGGTGTGGTTTGCTGGTACTCTTCAATTCCACTAGACGTGAGTCTAACCTGACGCTTCTCCTGATTAGATTGACTGATAAGAGCCCGGGGACTTTCACTACTTTTTCTGAGTGTAGAGCTTCAAAAAGTTAAAATGTAAATGTTTTCCTTGAAAGCCACACCTTTCGGGATGTTAAAATAGTGTTTTCATGTTTTTAGCTGAGCGGTGTCAATGGCTTTTTAGATTCTTTAAAGTTTGCCCTTCTCCCATTTAGACTGTGAGGCGGGCTGTCATAACCTGCCTCACCAGGCTTCGAAGCCCATCCCTCAAATTTGCTCCCTTCCAATCCTGCCTAGTTTTTGTATTGTGTGTCATCTGTACATCTTATCTCATTGTTAAAGCGTGTGAGATTAACCCAGAATGTGGTATTAAGAGGGGCGAGATCTCCCCAATTTGGGATTTATGGACCCGAAGTTCAGATGACTTCATCAAAGAGATCAGACCTGTAATGTGTCATTAAGCCAAAGTGACAGCGCACCCTTCCCAATAGCTGCACCATTTGGTGAATAATTTGGTTGAAAGTGAACTCTTAATATTTTTATTTTCCTTGTTTTTATTTCAGTCTTGGATGTGGAAGCATTTGAGCGTCTCCTGGGCCCTTGCATGCAGATATTGAAAAGAAACATACACGATTATGAAAGTCAACTGATTAAAATTTTTGGATCCAAGAACAACATAAGTGATGTTCGATGAATATTTAACTTACTTACCTTTCTAGGTAAATCAGTGAATTTTTCTTTAATTCTCGGACCGCCTCTGTCGCACCTTTATTTTTCAGTCTCTTGTATCTACTTTTCCTACTTTTCTATTGAGCTTCTCTCCCACTTTTCCTTAGTAGGTACTTCTTTCTTAGATTTCAATCACCCTTAAAATCTTTCTTTGAAAAGTGTTATTCAATTACCAGAACTCTCAACATGGTTAAAACTTTTTTTCCTGTTGTTTTAATTATCCAATTTTGTCGTTCATCACCAAAAAGGACCTGTAAATTATACCCACAGTGAATTGGAGGATCGAATTTAGGGAAATTAAATTTAGTTCAAAGGGTGTAAAGATACAAGATTCACCTTTTTGTTTGGGGGAAGGGGGGGGGGGTCAGGAATACGTAAAAAACACAAACTGTTACAACTCTTTTTTCCTCCTTTTTTATCCTTTCAATCTTCCAGTATGTAATTGTTTGTTTAATATTATTATATATTGTACAGACTCTCGGAAGAGAAAAAAAGCTCTATGATCTTAGCAGCATTGCAACACATTTGGCTTCTTTCAGCCAAACTTGGTTCAAACATGTATATGAAGTTAACACAAGTGTATGAAGTACTATTTATTTCAATATTTATATCTTTCTCCATCTTTTTTTTTTTCAAAACTTAAGCTGTATGATGAGAGTATCATAGTAATATTCTCTGGTTCCCTTCTTAATGGTTATTTGTATGTGATTAGATTAAGCTAGAAATGAATGTATCTATTTTAGGCATTTGGATTAGCTCGTAAAACTACATTTTATTGATTAACCTATATAATTTTTACAAAAGCTATCTCCAAGGTAAAGAAAGTTCCGTTTGGTACTTCATATAAAAATTCGTCAAGTCATTCGAACGCTCATTTTTAGCTTCAAGCCAAAAGATCCTGCAGTTCAAGTGTTTGAAAGTGGGCGTATTTGCATGTAAACTCGCAACAATCTCCATTTTTTACCACATAACAAAAATTCATAAGCCCTCTCCTAATTTCTGTAAGATCTTGCTTTGACCTCACATGCTGTTTTATTAAGTATGTGTGTACGGGTTTGGTAGCATTGACGTATACTCTTCACATTGTTACCCCCTCGTTTAAATATGTGAATACGCATGCATACTAATTTGAAAATAAAAGTATTCAGCAGCCTGATGGTCAAAACTATTTCTCGTTTTGTTGGCTAGATCATACAAGATGTACCATACCTTTCCTGTGTAGCATATTAATTTTCCATGTCCTGTTGCGCTAAAATAAATTTCAAGAATTAGGTGGCAGCAGCAAAAAAACTGCACTGTAAGTGAAGAAATTCTCATAATGAAAACAATTTTAGTGCCCAAGGTCAAGCATGTAGAGACTTCAGAGACGCTGAAGTTTAATCAGATGCCGTATCTAAAATGTGGCTACCCTCAAACAGCACTTCTCTGGAAAAAGTGAAGTAAGAGTATTGTAAGGAAAAGTGAGTGTTTTCGCTCTCACTGGTTTATTGGTCCACTCTATTCAAGCAATTTAAAAGCTGACCAGCATAACACCTGACAAGCTTGCAAACCTTCTAACCTCCTCTCTTGACTGAGTCGATGCATTTTGAGTCAAGTGTCAGGAGTAAGTTCCACTGTCTTATCAAAAGCATATGCTTTAACTCTTACACTTATATTGTACTTGCCAATGTTTGATTTTTAGTTCCAGAATTAAACGAGATACCAAAGAACTTGAAGTGTAGCTAGTGGCGTCTCTCAAGGATAGCTTTCAAAAGCATTCGTTATAACCAAATAGGTTTCATATTAACAGATAATTGTTCGAGGTCCATGTAGAGGTTCCCGTTTTTTTCCTACCCAGATTTTGATGGGAGAGGGTCCAAAAGTCTCCTTGTTCGTGAAACCATTGGCCCCAGTAGACCCAAAAATTTTTGTGCGGAAAATTGGCAAAAAGGGTTGCTTTCTGGCATAATGACGCTGCACGCATGACACTGCTGAAGTAGTGTTGTGACTCAAATCACTGCTTTCAGACAGAGATCTGTGGTTTAATTTCAGAAGATCTGATATAATGTTTAATCGTCCCTGTGATTGTTTTGCTTGATTTTCTCCTTACTTACTTCCAACTGCACACCCAACTTCCTTTTTTCGGATATTTACTTATTTAACGATCATTATCTATTAGGCTGATTATCATTGATGTACTAATGATGCTGTTAATGCAAAAAGGCAAGAATAAAAACAATTTATTAATAGTGCATCTTCATCAATTAAACATTTTGTTGCTGTTTCTTCATCAATACATTGTGTTGCTTTGATTAGGTAAATCACAGTGCTCTAAAGCACGAACTAGCAAGCAAGTAGAGCAAGAAAGAGAAAGAGAAAAACAAAATTGGGGGATAAAGTTATTCTGAAAAAGTGGAAAGCTAAGTAGTGCTCAATAAATTAATACACATCCATATAATTAACGATTATAGTGTATCATACGAGTATCCTTGAAAAGAAAGTTGCATACACCGTTGGAGGAAAGAAAGAAGAAAAGCAACCATAACAATCGCAGAAACTACTAAAAATGATGTCAGATCCTTTGGAATGGAACTGCTGACCTCTCAGTATGAGTAAAATTGTCTAAGGTACTACACTATTTTAGCGCTGCAAAATGTTGCTTTTAATGCTACGGGACCAATGCCATTTTGCCAGCTCAGGAAGTAACCCTCATTGCCTATTTTTTTAAAATTTCTTTTTGCCTCTTCTGGAGCCCGTTTGCAGAAAGAGTGAAATAAAGATCCAGTGCCTACACTAGGGTGCGGCTTATGTGATGGCTTAAAAAAAAGTTTGAAATTTTACGGTGCCTCATCGCCAATCAGTTCGAAATCATAAGAAAACATCCTGAAAAAAATTTTAGCCAAAAATTCGAAAATTTAGAGGTTGCACTAACGGTCGAAAGTATCGATATTTTTCTGTTTTAGAAGAAATTCTAGAAAAATCGGGTGTTTAAATAATCATCGTGTTCTTCAAGTAGATGCCAACAATGTGGGGTCATCAAGGACCTCGTTGTATCACTATACCACATAATAGAAGGGGTCGATAAGGGTTGAAAGAGGGGGGGGGGGATGCACCTAAAGATTCGCTATTATTTTGGTACTCCAGCGCAACGGCAGCGTCAAGACCTGTAATGGCGCATGGAGCTAGCAGCATCCAGAATACGGGTCAATCAACCAATGGCATAGCATATCATTGAAAAAAAGTATGTCACAACACCCCCCCCCTTGCTGATCCTTCTCATCGATAAGTTGATGAATGATATGGGGTGAAATAAATCACACGGAAGTTGAGATACTCATTTATTACGATAATATAAAACGAGGTCCCTTGGATTTACAGGAACTTTTTAGCTGGAGTTGGAAATGCCTTTCCATGTTCCATGACAATTTTCAACAAATATTGTTTTTGCTCTTCGTTTTTAGTGATGGTATTATTGAAAGTTTGAATAAGTGAAACTGCTCTTTCAGCATTGTTGTTCACAACTTTGAGATTTTTCACTACTTTGAGAGCTAGCTGGAAATCATGTAGCTTTGGCCATTTCGTCGGACTTTGTTTTAAAAACGTATATGGGATATTTAGAATTTTAAAGAAATTTAGACTGTTTTGTGTCACAAAAGATGATAAGTCCTTATTTTTTATACATTTTAGATCTTCAAAAGTGATCTCTGCCCTTTTAAGTCGTTTTACTTTGTTCCTATTGTTAGCAGACCTATTGTTAAACACAGACTTCGCCATTGACGTTTTGACACTAACAGGCAATGTATTATCAAAAAATGCTAAGCTAACAAGCTCCTCTGACAAATACCAAAGGTGTCGACGGAATTTTAAGGCAGTATTTTTACTGATGGTAGAATTTACAGAATCAAAAGCTAATAGATTCTTTAAAAATAGTAGATCATTATAGGGAGTTGGCGTAAATTGGCGGGAGTATATTGGCGCGAAAATACCGAAAAAGCTCGTTCTCCGAGGAAAATTGAATTTTCCCGGATAATGAGGGGTGATAGGAAAAATCTAAGGTCATATTCGGGTTTAGCAAGTCAAAATACATAAGAATCGATAAATCAAACATACAAATCAATTTTAAACCGTATTTTTAACACAAGAGTCCGGGAAAGGTTTTACTCAAAAGACGCGGAAAAATCGGCATTATCGGAGAACTGGAGGGTGATAAACCAAAACCTATGTCATATTCGGATTTAGCAGCTTAATATACATGACAGATTTGCTTTACCACGGGTCCAGTATAATTTATCAACATGAATTGCAATTATGACAAAAATACGTCAAATTTGCTCATTTTCCCGGGAAAAAGTCGCTTTTCCGGAAAAGTGAGAGGTGATAAGAAAAAACAAAGGTCATTTTCGGACTTAGTAGATCAAAATACATCGAAATATGACTATTTAGTACCTGGAAAAAATTGTACCTACATGTTGCAGAGGTCAACAGTCGCAAAAACACCACACACACCACACCACATTTTTCCGGGTAAAATCGGCTTTTCCGGAAAATTTAAGGGCGATGGACCAAAACGGAGGTCATATTCGGATTCACCGCCTAAAAATACAGGAGAAATATCTGATCTCGACCGAGAGACACTTTTGTTATTATTTTTATACATGTCAAAATAGGGTGGAAAAAATCTTCAGTCTTAAAAGCGCCAGAAATCACATTTGAAGTTAAGTTTCTCGGTCAGGATGTTAATATTTTGTTAAACTAAGATGTAAAATGAAATCAGCGACCCAAAAAACATAAGATCCAACACCTTTTATAACAATGCACTGCATTTTCGAATAAAGTTCCGTTAAAGCCAGTCTGTGGACCATAGTTCGACGGCCTCGGTGCGGTGCACCATAAGCAAATCTTCAAGCCTGTTTGACCTGGGAAAGATGGTGATTTCGTGACAGCTGCTGTAATATTTCGCTAGATTAGGTAATAATTGACTTTTCAGAGTACAAATCTGCTTAGGTCAGTTAAGCACTATGTTTCTAGAGGCTTAGTTAATTGGGAATAGTATACGGATTTATTCAAAAATTTGAGTTTTTTCGAATACATAAAGCGCGTTAGTGCAACCTCTAAATATTCGAATTTTAAGCTGAAATTTTTTTTGGGACGTATTTTAATGATTTCGACCCGATTGGTGATGAGGCACCGTAACATTTCAAAAATCACAAAATAAGCTGCACCCTAACCCTACATATGTTAAAAATCATATGTTAAAAATTTTGATCATACTCCCATCAAAATCTAGTCTGGACTTCCCCTTGTTTGGGACTCAGTTGATTTTCCTCTCAGAACGCATATTTCATTCTAAATCTTTCCAGTTTTACTGCCATAAGTGCTTTATAAAGCATTTCTTCCTGTAACTTTTGGTGAGGAAGGGGGGGGGAGGGGCAGCCCATGCATGCTGTAAGTCTTTTGCGTAAAAGGAATGATGAACTCTTATTCAGTTCCCAATTTAGTGGACAGAATAATTTTTTAGTGTATTTTCTTCGGAAAATACTCTATTTTCAGTTTACAGTCAAAAATCATCCAAAATTGCCAACTATAAAGAGGTACAAACTAAGACCTAGAACCACATGATTACATTCAATTTCCTAAGAGCTCACGCCCCCACAAATTACATTCTCTCTTTATGTGCTCCCAAGTTGGGATTATCTCAACTTAATCCACATTGTAGTAAATGAATCTCCTCAACCAGAAAATCACTCTTCAATTGCCTTTTTAGAAGTATATACAAATTCCTTCACGAATCTTTAAAATTGGCTTTTAAAAAAAGAGGGGGTCGTAGTAGGCCAGGCACCAAGGGAATGAATATTGAATTAAATGCTGGAAAGCTGGGAATTTTTTTAAAAGACGTTTTATGAGGTCCTTGAATAAATAAGGGTTAGTTTTGCACCGTTCCTGAAGTGGAGCTTCAGCCGCCATCTTGGATTTTTAGGCCTAAAATCGCTATTTTTTCGGTTTTTGGCCTATAAGTCAGTGAAAAAGTCATTTTCCGTCAAAATACCTCAGTGCTATAATTAAGCTTATTAAATTTCCTTTTAAAAAGGTGGTATACGTTTTTTTCATACGACCCACCATTTTCGAGTTATAATTGTCGCTAAGTTGGGCTTTTAAACTCAAAATCGACCAAAACCCGACTTCCAAGTTTCCAGTGCGCTACAACTTAACAAAAACGGAGGAAAGAG